GCTTTGGAATTTTTACCCAGTCGCTCCCCTGCACTTCGCTCGCTCTGCTTCTCTCGGTCCCAAATTGGGGAAAAGGATGAAGATGGGAGATAAATGGACGACAATTTATATGTCCGTCCCCTATCGACTATATATATATAATTAATTAATTAATATGTATACTTATCTGATAGATCGATAATCCGATTTTCGCCGAAATACTATCAAAACGCTCGATTTTAAATCGTGAACTTTCTAGCGATCGAAATATGGGTTTTGCAGGAACGGGATGTTACAAAAAGTCTAAGCAGAAGGTTTTTGTTCCCCCAGTTAGGAAGGGAGGAAGAAGAGGCAAGAAGCGATGAAAGTTTTAGTTTGGAATACTAGAGGGTTTAAAGATAGTAATAAGAATAAGGTTGTTCAGCTTATAGTAAATAGAAAGAATATTGATATAGTAGCTATTTTAGAACCAAGAATTCAAGGTCATGAGGCAGATACACTTATTCACAAAAGGGTTCCAGGTTGGGAGAGTAAGGTAACAAATAGTGCAGCAGGGCTGGGAAAGGTTTGGCTGTTATGGAGGCAGGATGTGAAGCTAACAGTTTTGGATCAATCTGATCAGTTTATCCATGTGTTGGTTAACTCTGGTAATCCGTTCTTTGCAATTTTTGTTTATGCGTCTAATGAAAAAGTGGAACGTAGGAAGTTATATGAGGATCTAGTGAGACTCAAGGTCTCTCAGTTGCCTTGGTCGATCATGGGGGACTTTAATGCAATTAGTAATCCTAGTGAGGCATCCAACAACCCTGCTTATAATAGTAGCATGGAGGATTTTGTAAACTGGCAGGATCAGTCTGAACTCTTAGAGCATAAGTCATCTGGGCCATGATTTACATGGATTAACAAGCAGTCAAGGAATCCTATAGCATGCAGGCTTGATAGGGTTTTTGTGAATCTGGCATGGTTAGAAGGTCTCCCTAGTAGTGTTGTTGATTTATTGGAACCTTCAGTTTCGGATCACTGTCCAATCTTTTTGGATACTGATAGTACTATAAAGCCATTGCCTAAGCCATTCAGGTTCTTCAAATTTTGGATTAAGCATCCATCTTTTTTTGACATAGTGAAAGAGTCTTGGAGCTCTGAAGTCTCGGGTTCCCCTTTATCTAGGATGTGTAAGAAGCTCAGAATCCTCAAGCAGTTACTAAAAGCCCTGAACAATGAGTTTTACTCTGATATTAGAGAGAGGGTGAAGTTAAAGGAAGTATAATTAAAGAACACGCAAATGGAGGCATTATTGATGCCTTCCAGGAGTCTTTTGAGGTCGAAAAGGCAAAGAGTAAGGAGCTCAGGCAGATACAATTGGATGAAGAATCATTCATGCGTCAGAAGTTCATAGAGATTTGGCTAAAGGAAGGTGATTCTAACTCCCTTTTTTTTCATCGATCAGTCAAGGTTCACTAGCAGAAGAATACTATTCGCTCCTTATTAAATGATGCTGGAGAGAGGGTCACTGACACTTCGTCTATGAGTAAGATAGCAGTTTCATTTTATGAGAAACTCCTTGGGACTAAAGATGATCTAGTACAAGTGAAACCTGTTGAGTTTTTTGCCAAGTTATTGAAGAGAAAGCTCACATGCTCTCATACTCAGAACCTGTGCAAGCCTGCAACTGAGGAGGAAATAAGGAAGGTTATGTTTGGTTTTAAGGGAGATAAGAGTCCAGGCCCTGATGGGTTTTCTGCTTGCTTCTTTCATGCTACTTGGTTTATTGTGGGAGAGGAAATTGTGAAGGCAATCCAACAGTGTTTTGCTCGGTCTACTTTACCCAATGAGGTAAATTCCTCTCTCTTAGCTCTTATCCCTAAGTCTAAGAACCCTGAGGATATGAAATTGTTCAGGCCAATCTCCTGCTGTAATGTCATTTATAAGTGCATTGCAAAGATTTTAGCTGTTAGGCTAAGTGATTGCCTACCTCATGTTATTAGTAGTAACCAGACTACCTTTGTGAAAGGAAGATTAATTGGAGAGAATATTATGTTGGCTCATGAACTAGTTCAGAAATATACATGGAAGAACATTTCCCCTCGTAGCATTGTTAAGGTTGACCTAATGAAGGCATTTGACTCAGTAGATTGGCATTTCCTCTTGACTGTTCTTGAGGCTATGGGGTTTCCTAGCTTGTTCATCCAATGGATTTCTATGTGCATCACTACACCTAAACTTAGTGTGGGTTTCAATGGTGGGGTTGTGGGGTACTTTGCAGCTAGGAAAGGCTTATGCCAAAGAGATTCTCTCTCTCCATATTTATTTGCAGTGGCTATGGAGGTCTTTAGTTGTTTAATGGAAGAGGTTGTATCTGAAAACAGATTACCTTTTCACCCTGTGTGTAAAAGGGTTGGTCTCACACATATTATGTTTGCTGATGACTTGCTGTTGTTTTCTGATGGATCTAATAATGGTATTCAACGCATTCAAAGAGTGTTGGCTGACTTTAGAACTCTGTTAGGGTTACAATCTAATCCTTCTAAGTGTGAGCTATACTGTGGTGGTTTGCCTCAAGAGTGGAAAGAGAGTATGGCTGATTTTGCAAGATATAAACTAGGTACTCTTCCAGTAATGTATCTGGGGATTCCTTTAATCCCAAACAAGCTTTCAGTTAAGGCTTGTCGACCCCTAATTGACAAGCTTATGCACCAAATCCAAAGCTGGGGATCTAAGCTCTTGGGTTATGTTGGGAAGCTCCAACTTCTCTTGTCTGTTCTCTATAGCTTAGTGCAATTCTGGACGGTCATATTTTTTTTTTCCAAGAAAGTCATTCAGGAAATTGAGAAAATATGTAGTAATTTTTTGTGGGGAGTTAGAACAGAGGGTAAGATTAGAACAAATTTTGAATGGAGCAGAATCTGTTTCCCTAGGAAGGAGGGTGGATTGGGAATCAGGAATCTTTACAGTTGGAATCAATCTTTTGTAGTCAGGCATATATGGGACCTGTTGTTGAAAGAGGGCTCCTTATGGGTGGCTTGGGTGAAGGAGTACAGACTGCACCATTATGATTTCTAGACAGTGAATGGGCAGACTGGTTCTTGGATTTGGTTGAAAATACTGAAGACAAGGGAGCAGATCCAGGGGCATCTATGTTGTCAATGGCGTTGGTTCTTGGGATGGAAGGGTCCAAAAGAGTTTCCCTCTGAGGCAAGTGTGGGAGCACTTTCGTCCAAAGCTCCCTGCAGTTGAGTGGAATAAGTTGATCTGGAAAGGGCCTGTAATCCCACGAAATCAGTTTATCTGTTGGTTAATACCTAGAGGGTTCATCATTACAGGTGACAAGCTGTTTAGCTGGAGGTATAAGGGAAGTTTTAAATGTGTGTTCTGTGATGCAAGTGTTGAAACGCACAATCATCTTTTCTCTGAATGTAGCAGGTATAAAGAACTGTTTAATTTGATGTTTTCTAAGTTTACTTGCAGAATCCCTTCTGACTGCTGGGGAGATGAACTGCACTGGGCAGTTTCTTCTTTCTCTGGATCTGCTAGGCCTTGCAAGGCTGGCCGTCTCCTCTGGCAGGCACTCCTTAGCAGTATATGGAGGGATAGGTGTTAGGCAAAGCATGGAGGTCCTTTCTGGAAGATTGAGGACCTGTGGAAGCGATTGAAAAGTGACCTGGAAGCTATTTGTGACGAGGAAGACCTGGAGCCTTTTTTGTGAATGAGTGATACTGATCTGATTTGATTCTTGAGTTAGTTTTGATATCTGAAGTTGTTTGATAGGGTTCCCTAGTGGCAAGGGATGTTGCCATAAGTACAATATTTTTTTGATGATATAAAATCCAGCCATTCATGAAAAAAATGGTAATAATTATGGTTATCAAACAATAAACATGTTACAATCTGTTTTCAACAATCCGAAAAATTAAAATATTTAATCATTGACAATCTATAGATTTAGACTTATATTCTCGGAATGAATGATACAATTTTAAGACTCAAATTCTCCAAACTAGCTTTAAGTCTGTCCGGTCTACCGTGGTTTGGGCCAATTCCGGGTCCGATTTAGACCGTCCCAGACTATCTTCCGGCCCTAGTTCCGACTTCCGAGTCCACGATCGAATCCAAGGCCCAATCCAAAAGATCAACGGTCTATATTCATCCTGAGGGGAAAAAAGGGGAATTGAAAGCGAGAAGACTTCTCAGTCCTGCTTCTGCACAGCCGACTCCATCTCAATTCTCAAGTGGTTTACTTGCTGCTTCTTTATTTCCATCAAAACCACATCTCGCTGCCTCTCAGATCTCTTCTGCCTCTGCGTCTGGTCTCCGAAACCGTAAGGTATCTTCCTTCCTGCCATAGACATGTTCCCCGATCTCCGATTTTCTCTTCTCTCTTAGATCATGTTCGTTGATCCATCCCTTCTGTTTGTATTGCATTCCCTAATTGATTAATTAGTTTCGATTCGGAGCTGCTGATCTCTGCCTTTCTCCATTAAAGCTCCAATCTTTCGATAGGGAGATGTGAGATCTCGATGCTGGTTGCGTTACCCGGAACTTCCGATGTTTGTATTGACACTGGGTGGATTGCCCACGTGTGGAAATCTGTTGGAGGGATTTGCTGGTGTATTTAGAATTTGAATTGGGAGAGTTAGAATTTGAATGATATGGTTGCATGTAGGATTTGATTTAGTTTGGTATCTGAGCTGAGGGTGAAATTCGCCTTGTGGGTTTGATAGTAGGTTTGGGTTTCTTTCGATTCCGTGTTTGCTGATTGATTTGATCTGCTTAGTTTGAGAGAGGGATTTGATTATTGTTCTGGCGTTTCTTATAGAGAGTCAGTTAAGCCAGACAGACTTTGTTGTCGATTCGATGCTCCTTGTATATGGAGTTTATGCATTTTACTTTACCTGCCTAGAACTTAACCTTCGTTGGTTGCAGATTACGAAGAAGGGTTGAGAGTGCTGCTTTTTCTTTTCTTATATATAGTTCTTGTGGTTGGTTACTGTTATGCTGGTTGTCTGTAGTTTTCTCGGGAAAAAATGGCAGAGTCGAAACAAGAATTGAAGAAACCCGAGTTTATCAAGGTGGAGCAACTTCGTCCAGGGACTAGCGGGCATAATCTGAGGGTTAAGGTTGTCAATACAAAGCAGATAGTACGACAGAGGGGTCGCGCTGAATCTTTGGTGGGAGATGAGACTGGAATGATTGTATTCACTGCGCGGAACGAGCAAGGTAAAATCTCATCATGATCGTGCATTGGATGTTATTTAGCTTTGCACATAGTGGGTTTTGATTTAACCTGCGTTGACAACTTATTATGAGAAATTTTGTTAATGGGCGTGCTCAGGAAGACAGTTAAGGGGTTTCTTTTTACTAGTGGGTTTCCATCCCTTCGCACTGGTTAGAAACCTTTTGAGATGTGATGACCGTGATCTTATGTATATTTTGAGTATCCCTATTTGTTTAACTTATCCTGGCTTCATTCATGCAACTACTTATCCACCATCTGTTTTCTGTTGCTTGTTTAGTGAATGTGATGAAAGAAGGTTCTATCGTGGACATTGCCAATGCAAATATTGAATTGCAGAAAGGATCAATGAGGCTTATTTTGCCTTTCGATAGGACGGGATCTGTTAAAGCAGCAGCAGCTGAAGCTGCAGATATCACTGTGAATGAAGACTGCAACTTTTCACTGATTGAATTTGATTCGGTCTCTATTGTAGAATCTTGAACTCTTCTTCAGGTCTTCATTATCACCCTTACTACTGGAGTGCATGAAGTAAAAATAACTCCTCAAGAAGCAAACTACTGTTACAGTAATCGTCTCATGTCAACAACAATTAGCTGCCTTTGGAACTTGGTTTGAATTTTGGTTTGGTTTCACTTGCATCATATCTACTTTTAGTTTTGAGACCCTTTTTGATTGATGTTGAACCATGTGGGCAAAGAACTGTATCAATTATCGGATGATCAAGTGAGAAAGTTAGCATCTACCATATTCATCTATCTGGTCTTCTCTTTTCCTTAGTCCTGCCCAAGTATGTAACCTGCAGCGAGGTAAACCATTTCCCATTGCAGCAGTGGGTACTCGGTAGCTCGAAACTTCCTTCACTGTGTCCTGCAGCAAAGCTGGCTGAGAAGTGACGACAATAAGGGAGAACAAACACCCAAAAGGGAAGTAGCTTTCATTCAGCTGTCCTTTCAATCACAGGGTGTGGAGGATACGGTTGTAAACTCGTGATGGAATGTGGATAAAGAAGACAACAAGGTATATGTTTAAGAGGCCGCAGAGGCAGGCAGGACAACAAAACACAGGAGCTGCTAACCTTTCTGTGTCAGGTAGTTCCAGTTTCTCCCCCGTGAACCAAGCTTTCCCGTGCATCTCAAGAAAGAAAACAAGAACCGTGTTGTTGGGGGGGCTCACTTGACAAAACAACGCGGAAACAAGTAGAGTAGATTGAAATTGTGGGGGTCAGATTCAGTTGAGCTCTCCACCCTCATTAATATGACAACAACAAAGCTATCTTATTCGTTCACCAGGTGACAACTATGTTTCGAACACTGGTTACTCAGTTTGGGACTGCAAATTCACTGATATGGTAAACTCAAACCAAAGTGTTGCAGAGGTGAAAGACATGTTATGTAAACAACATAGAAGTTGGACCTTGAAGTTTCTAGGGTTATGCAGACATGCAGAACCAGAAGCAAACACAAGGATCCAAACCCAAATGAAATGGAGCCAGGGTTATAGTACTATCCCCACACAAACTAGTGGAGGGGAAACTGTGTGTGGATAGTACTATAACCCTGGCTGCTAACTGCTAAGTGCTCATAACTATTCACTGGTTGTGCTGTTTCTCTTGTAGGACCTCAGTTCCTATTAACCAACAAAGCTTTTTGCTTGGGTGCTTTCCATTCCATGCGGAAACTCTCCAGAGGCTCCATTCCCCTGAGCTGAAAGGAAAGGACTACCCTGATTAGAAAAAGGAAAAGAAAAAGCTGCCATGGATGCCCTATAACGAAATGGAACAGACTAGATAGCACTCATCTCAGGGAAAGGTACCAGAACTTAAGACACACCACACAAGTATTGTTAGTCCGAGTAACTCGAATTGTTCAGAGAGAGGTCCAAGCGTAAATCTTAATACGATTTCCGTACAAGCTGTTGAGGGACAGCACGTTGGTACTAGCAGATGATATTGTTGTTGTGAGTATCTGCAGCTGCTGGCCAAAAGATCAGATTGATCCTAACGACATTACTCCAATTGGCTCACACCACGCTTTCACATGCAGTTCCCCACCACCACCAAATGTTTGGTTGAAATGTGCAGCCAGCCATGATTTCATGAAACAAGCAGAGCATAGCAGCAGCCCCTTTTTTTGGTATCAATGGCGAAAAAAGGTGGAGAGCTTCATTTCATAAAGAACCATGACGACACATCCACGCACTGATGATGCAAATCACACTCTAACTAGGCATTGCCCTCTATCTCTTTAATCTCCTCAAATGTGGGATTTAGTTGTTAATAATACTTCCCTCTGCTAATTAATGTGGGTTAGAAAAGGAATGTACGTTGTAACACCACCATTACCATGTCGATTCATCAATCAGTAAGTAGGTAAGAGCTTATCCCAACGTGTCAATTATCCAAAAAGGTAAAAATGGTGAGATCCCATTCCCATCCAATACCAAAACAAAGCACAAAGGCAATTTACTCTTGATTAGACCTCTGCAGCCGGCATGAGTCAGAAGGGTAGAGGGCCAATTTAGCTTTGAAGGCCAATTTTGTAGGTGAAAATTATTGGAGTTAAACTTATGCGAACTTTATATCGTTTTAACTTTATTCAAAAGTTGGAGTTTAGGAAGGCGGTTTGATAAACAAATAATGTTGCAGCATTCCACATGATTCCATAATTTTGACCAGTTACATTTAGTTTTACATCTATATATTGTGACCACTCGTCAATTGCTATTTATTGATTGAGATGTTCGTATTACTCGTATTCTTTGAAATGGTAACTGTATTACTAATTTTCTTGTCCATTTAGATACGTGATATCTTTAAATTTATAGATGTTCTCTAAACTATATCTTATCTTACTACCTGATATGTAATGCATTTACAACCTCCAAATCCATATCAATGTAACTTATATTAAGTATGATAGAAAGTCACCTTTTTAGCTCCCATTTTATAAAAAGAAAAGACAAACCACGAGCAAAAGCATGTTAAGTATAACATGTTTATTAGCCGAAATAAAGTATTAAAAAAGTGTCAAATTGGGGCACATGCAACGTTTGAACTCTCCAAGTCATAACCATTATTGACAATTATCTCTTACCCTCTACCTAACACTCTGTTTTCTTATGCACTCTGTTTCCTTTTCCATCTTTTTGTTTGGGCCATGGTGGAAGTAATGCAGCACACAAGTGAAGGCCCATTGCTCATTACTGAATAAAAATGGTCCAATATCTTCATCATGCCCTGGGGAGCGCCTTATCTATGGCTTCCACTTTATTAATTGTTTCACTTATTAAAGTGAAAGCAGACTGATTGCTGCTGCTGCTGCTGCTGCTGCTGATCAAATGGAGGAATATGAGACAAGAAAGCTGTTAAAGATAACGATGATGGTCCAGTCAGCAGACATTGGTTAGAAAACGAATCAAAGACCATAGAAATATAAGCCCCTGTGATTAGCTTAACAGTTAGCACTAATTAGCTTGATTAGTTTAATGGGGGGTTTCTTAATCTCTTGATAATGCATGCCCATTTTGCAGAAGAAACACAATTCAAATGAGGGATTAGGGGACCCTACTGATGCCCTCCCCTCCATATATGGCCAATTTGCCTCTTCTTAAGTGGGAGTTTGGCCCTCCGTAGTTGTTGTAGTCCATAACAAAGCATCCAAAGCCCTTTTGCAAAAGGATCACTCATCTCATAAGGCACTATGACCCCAAAGCTACCAAAGCACCATCTAAGAAAGATCATCTTTGCAATAAGATAGAAAAGTGGAGATATTGATGAGTGTTACATATGTATATTCTTCACTGACAATGCGATTTTATATTAGTCCAGTTAGAGGTGGCAATTCTCAATCCAATCCACCAATCAAATCCATCAACCCATTAAAAATATCCACCTAATTCAATCCATTTGATCCAAATCCAATTGGATTGGTGGGTTCATGGATTGATCCGTGGATCCAAATGGAAAATTACGGTTTGGTACCTATACTTTATATTTTACGTTTTGGTAACCAAAATTTAATTTTTTATACGAAAAATATCATTGGAAATTTACGTTTTGGTACCTAAAAATTTTCGTTATGATATTTTGGTACCAAAACTTTTCACATTTTACATATTGGTCCTTGGTTGAGGATGCCATTTGGATTCATGATAATCCACCAATCCACTTGATCCAATCTATTTGCCACCTCTAAGTCGAGCGTAATGTAATCATTCTCTTACAATTGCCTACCAAGTGTCATAAACCAGTTAGTCCCAATAACTCGAGTTGTTGGGAGAAGGTTATGCTGGATCTTATAGCACTCTCTAACACGCCCCCTCAAACAAAAGCCAACCCACGGGCTTGAAGTTTGTACAGGCCCACCATACCTTGTGTTTTTCATTAAGTGTTATATTGGGGGTAGCGGAGATTCGAACACAAGACCACTTGGTCAAACCAGCTTGTGAGAAACACGATTAATCGAACAGAAATTGGGGATGAGAATAGAAGAATTAGGGTTGAGAATTGGGAATTGAGGTGGGAATTGAAGTAGAGAAGAGGATTTAGGGTTTAGGAATTCTGATATTATGATTGATTAATCGAAATAACAGAGACTGAAGCTTAAATAGTTCTCTCTCCCTAATAATACCCAATTGACCCAAATACCCTCCCCCAGGCCGACTCGGCCTTTACACAGTGTCTCTCACACTCCCCCTTCTTCCAGACCGAGCTTGTCCTCAAGGTCGAACGCCGGGTAAGTCTGTCTAATAGTCTCCGTGTCCTCCCAAGTTGCTTCTTCCGGTCCCAAATGCTTCCACTGAACTAGGCTCTTCGCTACTCGTCGCTTGCCTCTGAGAGGCCCACGCACATCCAACACCACCTCGGGCTCCAACTCCAGCGCGCCATTCTCGTTCACCGGCGGCTCCGGTGGCATCGCCTGCGGTGCCACTCCTTGGTACCTGCGCAGGAGTGAAACATGAAATGTGGGGTGAATCCGGGCCGCGTCTGGTAGCTGCAGCCCATATTCCACAGCCCCGACCCTCTCCGGCACCTAGTATGGTCCGAAATAACGGGCAGCGAGCTTCTGGTAAGCCCTCTTAAACACGAAAGTCTGCAGTACGGGTGCAACCTGAGTAAGACCCATTCACCCACCGTGAACTCCTCCTCTCGCCGCTCTGAATCCGCATGCTGCTTCCGCCTGTTGTTGGAGGCGACCAAATTCGCCTTCAACTATTGCAGCGCCTCATCTCGATCTGCTAGCCTCCTGTCCACCGCACTCGCCCCGGACTGATACCGGACTAGCGTCGGAGGCGTCCTCCCATATAGAGCCTCGAACGGAGACATCTGAATAGACCGGTGATATGTGGTGTTGTACCACAGCTCCGCCCAGGGTAGCATAGCTAGCCACTGTCGTGGTTGCTGATGTGCGAAACATCGCAAGTATTGCTCCAGTATTTTGTTCACCACCTCTATCTGTCCATCTGTCTGAGGGTGGTAGGCC